GTCTTCTCCAGCACCATAGTTCAAAAGAATCTATTCTTCGGCACTCGGCCTTCCTTATAGTCCAACTCTCGCAGCCATACATGACTACTGGGAATACCATTGCTTTGACCATGCGGATTTTTGTTGGCAGGGTGATGTCTCTACTTTTTATCATGCTGTTTAGGTTCGCCATCACTTTCCTCCCAAGTAGCAGGGGCCCAGAGATTTCCTGGAATCACAGCTCATCTCCAGACTACAGAGATCGGTTCCCCTGGGAGAAAATGGCCGCTTTGGCGGGTGGTGGTTGTTGTTCAGTCGGACAGTCGAGTCCGACTCTTCGCGACCCCATGGACCAGATCACGCCAGGCCTTCCGGTCTTCCGCCGTCCTCTGAAGTTGGCTCAACTTCATGTTCGTTGCATCTATGACACTGTCTAACCATCTCATCCTTTGCCGTCCCCGTCTTCTTTGACCTTCAATCTTTCCCAGCATCGGGCAGGTAGACCCTGTGACATTATACCTCGCTGAGGTCCCTCCCCTCCCTAAACCCCACCCTCCCCAGACTCCACCCCCAAATCTCCAGGAAGTTCCCACACAAGAGCTGGCAACCCTAGCTGGGCAATGAAGCAAGGGAGGGATGCACCCCAACGATTCTAGGAAGATAAGACTGTGAGGCTCTTTGCCAGGCATGAGGGAGTGAAGATGTTTTGATTCTGGAAGACTGTAAGGCAAATGCCAGTGATGAAAGGGAGAGGGGGGGAAACTTTTAAAAACAAGTGTGAGGGTTTTTTTGCAAATCTCAAAATAAAATGCAATTCTCCACACCTCCCAAAGGCAACGATTAAAAAACGAGCGCTTACCTTCAAAAGATTCAAATTTCTGTCTTAGAAAATGGCACTCTTCGACTATTTTGTCTTCTGTGGTCTTCTTGCCCATTCCGAACTCCTGTAATGTGCTTACAGCAAACCGGCGCATTACCTTCCAGTTTTCTCCATGAGAAAAAATAATGCCTAGGGAGAAACAGGACAAAGTTCCATATCACTGTAACTGCATTCTTGAAAATCCTCTGCTATAATGCTTGGGGATGGATGTGAAGAAGGGGTTCCATTTTTTTAAAAAAAATGTTGCTTAATTGTGCACTTGTGTCCAGATCTATTCAGGCCAAAAACATACCCCCAAAAATACCTTATCGGCATCCCAAATGTATCTGATTTTCTTGGGAAAACCAGGGGGGGAAATCCTGAGAAAATCCTGGAGGTATTCGGGAATTACCGGTAGACCCTAAAACAGCAGATTGCTCCTGCCTCTCACCTATTTGTTGGGCTTCTGCAGTCCCTTTAAACTTTAAAGTGGCTGCAGAAGACAGCCTCTGCTGGCTCGACTCGGGGCTGGCTGGCTTCTCCCACAGTCCAGTTTAAACCGGGCTGCAAGAGAAGTCAGCCCAGGATCAGCCTCAACTGGTGCTGGCTCCTCTTGCAGTTTGGTTTAAACCAAGCTGCAAGAGAGGATCAGCTAGGGCAGTGGGAGCGGCAAGCTCCCTGCCACCTCAGCTGGGGCTGGCTCCTCTTGCAGTTTGGTTTAAACCGAGCTGCGAGAGAAGGCAGCCCAGCATCAGCTGGGGTTTAAACCGAGCTGCAAGGGAGGATCATCCGGGGCGGCAGGAGCTGAGAACTTCATGCTGCCTTGGCTGGAGCTGGCGTCTCTTCTCTTTCTGGTTTAAACCGAGCTGCAAGAGATGTCGGCCAAAGATTGGCCAGGGCCGCAGGAGCTGAGAGCTCCCCTCGGCCTCAGCTTGGCTTGGTTTAAACCGGGCTGCAAGAGAAGTCATCCCAGGATCAGCTGCTCCCCATGGGGAGCAGACTGCTCCCTGTGGGCACAGCTTCTGGCCTGCAGTTTTCCCCTATTTATTTCTTCTTGGGTCTATTGGACCTGAAAAATACAGGATTACTGAAAAATCCCTGATTTGTTGATTCGAATTTTGCATTTTTCGGGAAACTTGGGGGGGGGGGGAATTCGGTTCAATATACCCTAATCGAAAAACACTAGGGAAAAAAATTCGCAAATTCCCTACAGACTGCAGAGAATGCCTGAGAATGGGCAGTTGCAAAGAGGAAGGTGAGAAAGTTTCATTCCCTCAGTCGCTGGATCCAAACTGACATCTCTCCATTGAGTTAGGGTTAGTTTAGAAGCAATTCCGTTGGCATGGCTACATGTATGCAAAGAAGACTGAATTGTACACAGACAGAAAGGCCTCACCGTAGCCTTTGGAACAATCCTGATAAATTGGGATTACGGGCCTCTCCGCAAAGGCATCTGCCTGGTTCACGAGAGCCTCCTTTATGGTCTCAAATCCTGCCAGTACGACCATTTTCTGGGGTCCAGTGTGAATTCTGAAGACAGGGCCGTACTGCTTGGATAGCTGAAATGAAGAAGAAGAAGACGAAGAAGAAGAAAAAGAAGAAGAAGAAATGACGAAGGCAATGTAAATAATCACTTACAGAAGCAAGAATGTAGTTCCTACGCTCACTATTGGATTGAGCAGGAACTTTCTGAATAAGAAGAAGAAGAAGAAGAAGAAGAAGCAATATCGAAGGCAATGTAAACAATCACTTACAGAAGCAAGAAGGTAGTTCCTACGCTCACCATTGGATTGGGCAGGAACTTTCTGAATAGTCTTGTCTAGTGGTGACTTGAAAATGCTATGTCTTTAATGGAAAAATGATATTTTCGGGGAGGGGGTAATGCGCTTGATTCACTTTGCGAAGGATCTCTAAATACCATAATAATATCCCTACATAACATTATCAACAGCAACAAACCTTTTCCATGAAGCCTCTACTACTTAATGCTCTCTCTCTCACCTTTTCTTCTTGGAGATTTTTAAGCACTAA